AGAGCAATAAACCAACTAAATAAAAATCAGATAACTAAACCACCGTAGCTTCGGGATAACCTTAACGCGCGGGGATTGTTTCTAAGGATGGAGAATCTACGAATATCGAACTCTAATCGGGGATCTCAAGTTATAATATAAGATTTGGCTCTCTCAAGTCCCAAATCCACTATCCAATAATTTAACCTATTGATCTCTCAACCTAATAGATTAAAATATCAAATGCATTAACGATCACTATCACAGTTCCTAAACCGATTAACCTATCTTTCAATAGTCTTAATCAATTCATTCAATGAATTCTTTCCGAATCTAATTTCAACTCTCTTGTTAATAAAAATCTAAAATCAATCAATCAACTGGCCAAGAAGATCAAAAACAATAAAATCAATTCAATCAAACCGACGAGTATCGATAACGTAGTCTCGGAAAATAAAAACCAAACAAATCCCTACAAGGTTAAATCTCTAGCTACAGTGAAATGACTACTCACTACCCATAACAATAAACGAGTTTAAATCAATAAGAAGAAACATAGAAACAGATAAAGAAGACTTGTAGCGATCTCTCGACAACGATTCTTCAATCTCTGCTCCTGGAAAACTTCGTCTTGATTCTCTCTCGAGTTCTCTGGCTTCTGCTGTGATCTCTCGATGATTTTTGAAGCCCAAGACGTCTCTTATTTATTTTCTTGGCAGCTGGGCTTCTTCATTTGCTGAAAACGGAAGTTCAGATGCAAAATAGGAAGTTTTCCCGTAACGCAACACGGTCGTGTCGGATGCAACATGGTCCGTATCAATTTTTCTGTTAAAAATATGCACTTTAGACATGGGCTGAACACGGGCGAGTTTGAATCAACACGGCCGTGTTGCGTTACGACACAGTCCGAGCCAATTCTCTGAGCAAAACTTCACTTTTTTCAGCACAGCCGTGTCGAATGCAACACGGTCTGTGTCGAATGCAACACGGTCTGTGTCGAATGCAACATGGTCCGTGTCGATTCTTCAACTTGAACATGCTTTACAGATTTGCTCATAACTTTCTGTTCCAATGTCGGATTTGCACGATCTTAATGTCTATGCGAGATATTGAAGAGAGCTTTCCAATAATATAGAGAACGCATGATTTGGACTTGTAGAGTGAAAGTTATTAGACTTGCAAGATCTGACTTTTTAGGCTTCATGTTTTTCACCGAAACAACCCCAAATGTTCCCGTTTCGTCTGTGATGTTTCGTAGTCCATGTTTTCCATCCATTTTGCTCTCTTTTATGCACGAATACCTGTTTTGCCATCAAAGAAAGCAACCAAGCAATATCGAGACCAAATGTGCTCTAGAATGCCTATAAATATGCAAAACCGAGTAAAATGCACGACATCCTATACCAAAATGTCACCAAAATACATGTTATCAGGGTCCAGTCTGATCCGTATTTCCGGTTTATTTTCATATTTTTCTCTTTTTTTCACTAAACTGGGTCGGCCTAATATCAAGTCCGACCAGTCTAGTTTTGCTTTCCCTCACCAGGTTTGTTTTTCGTGTTCCGTTACTCTTTTTTTTTTGGGTTGGTCTGATCTCAGACAGACCGGACTGATTTTTGGTCCAGACCAATCGATCTAATTGATCCACACCGGACGGTCTGGTTGGTCCAGACCGGACGGTCCAGACTTCGTCTTCGCATTTTCTCCTGCAACCCTAGACCGGACGGTCTGGCCCCAGACCGGTCGGTCTAGGCCTCAAATTTCTCCCAAAAATCATTAAACATGCATGGTTCGCTATGGGTATTACAACAACACTCATATAATTTCATGTAGAACACAAACCAAACATTAATTTTGCACGAATCACACAAAAACCCAAACCCCATGTCAACAGACTTCCGAATTAAACTTGAATTTACTCACCTCGGGTTAACCTTGCGTGTTGGCTGATGAATGGAAAGTTTGGTGATGCATAGTGTTTTGTAGGAATCAAATTGAGCGTAAATGCTTTGGATTCGAGAGAGAATTCTGAGTTTGAAGGATGAAGAACAAGTGAGGGGGAAGAGGGGTTGATTAAAAGCTCGGATTTGGACGGATTTGTGTGAAAACTCCGGACCCAGGGTGGAAGAATCGCGTCTTAGGGTCCCTAGGGTCGACAATCATGTTTTCTGGTTGGAATCTGGACCGTCCGGTACAGTATTTTTTTTTAAAAAAAAATTGGGGTTGTCACACGTATGGAAAGCAGTGGTTCATATGTATTGAAGTTAGAACCGATTGATGTGCGAAATGGCCATGGTACCAAGTTTTTTTTGTAGGTCCCGTCATCAATTATGCCACGACACCAAACTTTCCGAAAACGCTATTGCCTACAACCACAACAGTACAACCAGTCGAGCCGGATCCACAGTACAACGAGTCTGACCCTTAGTTATGTTGGCAAGTGATATTATCGATTTAATTAGGCCTTTGTACTTACAGATTTAGACTGTGAAGTTTGAAACGAACATCCTAATGACAATTACTCGGTGAAATCATGTTTAATGGTAAACACAGGATCCTCGTCACCAATATGGAAGTCAATTTGGAACGGAGGATTAGAACTCCTAAAAGGGTTAGGGTGTTCATTTGAGAAATATTATTTGTGTTGTTCCTCACAAATCCCTCTTAGAAAATGATTTTTCTTTCACTCTCTACTTTGAATTTGCAATAACACCAAAACAATATTCAACACCTTTTATTACATCATTAACACAAACTAAACTCACATAACTACACAGACAAATACGTAAAGTACTCATAGAGTAGGATTACAAACACTTTCTGCAATAAAATGCCAAGTCACTAATAAGTTCTCTTTATAGAGCCAAACCTAACAGTTATTGAACAGTTATTATAAACCCATCTAATAAAACCGACAAATAACTCCTTCAACATTTCCACCGATAACTTCTCTTGAGTTTTGAGGCACAAACTCCAACACTCCTCTTTGACTCAAAATCTCATAATTATCACATATTTCAATCGGTAATCTTCAATACAAACCTTTCTCGCTGTAACAATCTTCGTTTTTCCGAGTGCAAAACTGCCCCATCTCGATTTCTCCAATACGTCTCTCGAGTGCAACACTGCCCCTTCTCGAGTCCGCAATTTTCGGATTTACAAACCTGACAAACTTACAACATTTTTCCGATGTCCCAGAATTATCGCCTTCCGATGTCGCAAATCTTCTCCGTTTCATCTTTGTTCTGTTTTCAAAAAACACACACATTTTACTGTATTAAAAAAAAACACAACCTTCGCACAAAATCTTACCAAATCAACCTCCGATTGTTCTTCAACAACCATTTTCTGCACCATCGCTTCTTCGGCCCATATCGGAAACGTTTTCGTTGTAACGACTCTCATTTCTTTCAAACCCAAAAACAAAAACCCAAATCATAACCCGAAAATTGAATCGTTTTTTCCGACCCATACTCCCACAGATCTCAAAAAGACCATTAAACGCTCTGATACCACTATTGTTTCTCACAAATCCCTCTTAGAAAATAATTTTTCCACTCTCTACTTTGAATTTGCAAGAACACCAAAACAATATTCAACATCTTTTATTACATCATTAACACAAACTAAACTCACATAAATACACAGACAAATACATAAACTACTCATAGAGTAGGATTACAGACACTTTCTGCAATAAAATGCCAAGTCACTAATATGTGCTCTTTATAGAGCCAAACCTAATAGTTATTGAACAATTATTATAGACTCATCTAATAAAACCGACAAATAACTCCTTCAACAGATTTCACCAATAACTTCTCTTGAGTTTTGAGGCACAAACTCCAACAATTTGTAAGTTTCAGAGAAGGAAGAGACATCTGATTAATCATGGTATCTTATGGTATCTACGCAAAAACAAGACAAACGCAAATCGCATGATCATCTAGGATTCAACACGGGAACAAAGGGAGTTCTTCGATAAGGTTCATAGTGTGGGACCCAAAAATAGTTTGTGGAACGGGTCGTGGGAAAAGTAGGATATCAGGTAATTGTGATGCTTTGTAGGCCGAAATGTGGGGCATCATCTGTCATGCGTTGGAGTAGGAGTGTGGCAACATGGAATGGAAGGAGATGAAATTTCCTCAAAGATTCGACTATATATCTTTTTCCTAGAGGAATTTGCTCAACGATTGTAGATAGATCATAGTTTAGTTTTGTTTCTATATTTTAGATATTTATATTGTTTAAATGAGATGTTATGTTATTTTATTTTTAACATATAAATATTGTAATATTCTATAATCGATCCAACGATTCTCCATCTATTTTTTTTATTAGATTATTATTGGAAAACGGATGGGAAGTAAATATTCGAAATATTTTATGCAAGATAAATATGTCTTCATTTTTTTTTTGGGTAAAGAAAACTTCTTGGGATTCTAATGGTTTAATATGGTTTAGATAAGCCTACACAAGATTTAGAAAAGTATAGTTGGTATGATGGGTATTATGAGATTTTTTTTTAAAAATGTAATCGGGCTCAACCCTCGTATAAAACGAACATGTTTTCCCAAAATACTTTTTTATAGCAATTGTAATTATTATAAAAATACATACATATCTAATTATATTTTTTGTCCGTTTTAGATTAGGAATTCTATATAATGTTTTTATTAGGTATAATATGCACATATAATATACACATGTATATACTTCGAATAATGAAAAACTCGAAAATTATAGATAGATTGTATACGTAATATATCTCAATAATTAAAAAAAAAAACCGAAAACTACTTGGTCATTCCAAGATTGGTATCTCTGGTCCACGGATCGATCCGAGGAATGCGGGTCATCTGTAGAATCTTATATTCTAAATCAAAAGCCCATCTGTAAATCATTTTTTTTTCATCATCAATGAACACAAAATAATTTCCTTTTTAATCGTTTGCCATTTTTAAGACTTCCGTGTAATTATAAAACCGCACGGTCTCATATTTTCCATCATGATTCAACACTCATCGCCTCTTCTCTCGCTCTGCCTAGTTTTTAACCTTTCTCTTCTCTTCTTCCTCTCTAAATTCTTTGGAAAACAAAGAATTCGGAGAGGAAAGAACATCCAAAAACTATTGTGCTTTCGGTATTCGGAAAGAGAGAAAGAAGAGAAAAGAACAACAAAATCGAAATGTCGGTCTCAAAGATTTCATTCGAAGTTTTTGCAATCGTATCTATAATTTTCGTCATTTTGTTACCATTGGTGTATGGCCATCCGGTTGCCCCTGCACCGGCTCCCACGAACGATGGTAAGTATTACGGGATATCTTGCATGAATATGTGGGATCACAACGATATGGTAACTGCCAGATATTGTACAGATTGCATTTGCTATTTTCCAATTCCGTATCTAGGTTTCAATGTCTGATTTCCTCATGTATATATAGTGTTGCATACGTGAATGAGAACGCAAGTTGATTCTCGGTTCTTTCTCGGTCTGATACGTGTTAGTAAGCAATTTGTTTTTTTTTTCCCTCTAAAGTTCTAAAATTAATTTGGATTACACAAATTTATATAAGTTGTGAATAGCTATTTAAATTCCAATGCCAAGTATTTTAGATAAGATAGCCAAATCGGTTTTGAATTCACCCTCGAAATGGATATTTCAGATTTTAAAACTTAATATACAAAACCGTCGAAATGGATATGTACGAGTGTTCCGTTGAATAACATTTAGGTTTTTCAACTATTTTCAATTTTTTAAAACCTTCTTAATTTTATTTTTTAAACTTATCAAATTTCTAATGTTGGAAATCTTTTTGTTAAGATTTCTTAAATATATTATGGTGGAAATTTGAGATTTTGATAGGTAAACAAATCTTTTGAGAACTTTGAAAAAAAAAATATCATTTTTCCCTTAAAATCATATGTTCACTCGAACGAAAGACTATGGAAAAACAATTTTTTGAGTGTTAAATACCAATTATGCACTGCTGAGTAATTCTGCAACATTTGTTTTTTTTTTTCAGGAACAGCAATAGACCAAAGCATAGGTTACGTTCTTATGTTGGTTGCGTTGGCTCTCACGTACCTCATCCATTGATCCAATTTCGCCCCAACAGTAACGAATTTTCAGATTGGTCTCCTTTTATATTTTATTTCAATCACTTCTATTGTAAATGGAGATCAACAAATCTTTATATATGGTAGAGAAATAAAAAGAGCGTTTCCAAAAAAAAAACAGCAAAGGTGTTAAAAATGTTTTTTTCTCGGACACGAAAAAAAATCGTAAAAAACAGATCATACATATTTCGTCGCCAACAAAACAACGATTACTAATGAGAATGGAGTGGCATGAATGAAAAGAACGAGACCGTCTAAAATCGATGTCAATACGACCTAAAAATGATGTACGTTTAATTCTTGGTACGGATTTTATCGATTTATATTTTTCCATGAAAATAGGTAAACTTCAAGACATAAATTATTATTCAACTATGAAAATATCGAGATATAAGATGTTTTTTTGTCAAAAAAAAGATATATAAGATGTTGGATCGACGTAATTTAAATTTGGACTTTATGACTTTTTTACTAGAAGACGATCAAATAATTACGTTCTCCATCGATAGGACACACGGTAGGGGTGGGTGAAATCGCAACCTGAAAACTTTGGTATAAGAATATGCATGTGTGTCTTTGTTTGTGGATGTGTGTCCCTTCGTTCTTTATGAATACACGTTAACGAACGAGGTTGTATAATTCACGAAAATCGGGTCGGGCCGACCGACCCGAGGATTTCGGGTTCAGGCTCGGGCCGGTCCGACCCGAGGATTTTGAGTTCAGGCCGATCAGAATTTTTTTTGCCTATACCATCCATTCCAAAGCCCGACCCTATAGGCTTCGGGTTCGGACTCAAGTCAGAAGTATGTAAACTTTTTTTTTCACTAATTGTTCCTGGAAAAAAAATATTCGGGCTTTCTGGTCCGAAAACCCGATTTTTTTAACCGAAAAAATTAGGTCCAAAGTCTGATATTTTTGGGTGGATTCGGACTGAACTTTGGATATCGTGGTTGCCCGAAGGGCTATCTAACCCGATCAACTTCGTAAGCCGTAGCGCGCTGCATAATGATCCAAAGACTTTGTCGCATCTCTTCGATACGGGTACAGTAACAATCATTGCGATCTCCTCTGGTACCTACTGGTACGTCAGGATCCGATTGGTCATGAACATCGTAAGGTGCGACTTTGTTTAGGGTAATAGCCGCACGGCGGCCTTGTTGTACCTTACTCTCGTCTTCAATGGGGTCTGCGGGTCAGAGTCGCTGTCTTGGTCTAAGCGCTCAACCGTCTTCCTGTGCGCCGCTAAAAATAAAGAACATAACCAATATAGGGAACAGGGGAATACCAAACCACATCCCTGCTGATCCGGCTACAATAAATAACTATTGAAGAGCGAAAAATTAGACATTCCATGCCCTCGGAGAGTGCTTTGTCGTGCTAGGCGAAATTGACACCCCCTAACATTAACCAGGATAGAACCAAAGATTATAAACAACAAAATCAATAACTTTATACTTCTTCACCGCCAAGAAAAAAGGCGAGATTTCTGCATCATTTTCGACTAAATCAATAACCTTATGTGTTCAGGCTAATGCATGCAGTGGGTCCTGGATGTGAGTGTTCAATATTAACCATCTACTTGGTTATCCAAATCATGCTAAACATAAAGTTTTAGGTTTTACTATACACTAAGGTGACAATCACAGGGGAAAAAAAATCCGGTCCATTTCCCATTACTGGACCGGAGATGATTACAAGACTATTCGGTACCAGATACACCGGATGTAGAACTGGATAGACATGACTTTTCGGTATCGGTATTGTGGCAGAAGTCCCAATCAAGAGCCAGATGCACTAGGAATGGAACTGGGAACACCCAGATTCATTTGACAATCTGGAATCAGACTTGGGTTTTCGATAGTGAAGCCCGAGATATTAAACCTCGAGTTTTTTTAAACTGAAAATGACCACAAAATCAAGCAGATTACCGGTTTTCTTGTAATGAGAAGTAATGAAATGGAGACACTGAGTACTCTAGGAAGAGAGATGGTCACAAAGCGATATCTGGTTCAGCTCTGGTCTGGTGTCTGTAAGCTTGGAATGAAGGATAGTATCCAAAACGGCAACGGCTTCAACAATATGCTTCCCTTTGTTCAACATCACACAATCAGCCCTGTAATTTGAGTTGACAAATAACCGAAATTGTCAGTTTAAGATTTCAAACTCGGCTAACTAGTTGCTAATTTGCTACACTTATCCTCTTTATGAATGATCAAAGGTAACAATTCAAATAGCTCGGCTAACTCTTGGACCAATTGTTTTATTTATTTAACCTGTGCGATCAACCACAAAAGCTAAAAGCTGTATCTACCAATTTCCCCTTTGATATGATCTCACTTTAGAAACTGTCTAACCCCTGAGGGGGATGACTCGGGTATCTAATCACATGACCTAGTGCAGGAAGTGTTAAAATAGGGATCGGTCCTAACCAAGATTAACCCTTATAATCATAACTGTCTAACCCTTATAATCATAACTGTCAACAGGACAAAATTTAATACGGTCCATGCGAAGAGATGTTATGATGGATCTCGTACATTAACCAGGACAGCCCCATATTTTTCTCTAAAAGTTAAACTGTAAATCCAAAAATCAAATGCTGACTAGAAAGCTTATGCTCCTACGTGAAAGGACAGAGGAAGTTGCAAAAGACTGACCTTTTGGCATAGGCAACATCCGTAATCTCAGCTCGGGTTGGAACTCCAGACTTGACAAGTGATTCCAGAACCTGAGTTGCCCAGATAACTGGTACACGAGCCGCTTTACTTACAGCCATGATCTCTTCCTGTATATTAGCTAATCTCTCCCAACCACATTCCACCGCAAGATCTCCTCGAGCTATCATTATTCCCAAGGGATTTGGACACTTCATTGCTTCTAATAGAATCAGAGGCAAATTCTTGAACCCGCTTTCTGTTTCAATCTTCAGAACAATACCCAGGTCTGGTATTCCCCTTTTGTCGAGCTCCTGTTTAAGAACAGTAATGTCACGTGCATTGCGGATGAAAGAAATGCCAACCATATCAGCATGTGAAACCACAAAGTCAAGATCTTTGATATCTTTTGAAGTGAGGCCTTCGAAACGGATGTCACTCTGCGGGATGTTTATGGACTTCTCTGATCCAATTTTGGTACCTCTTGGACCAGCTTGGGTGATGGAGACAACTATCTCTGAAGGACCTGTTCCGTTGATCACTCCCCAGATCCTTCCATCATCAAAAGCAATAGTTTCACCCGGTTTGACAGAGTCGAATAAATAGCTTGACGAACAAGTTATCCTATGAGCTCCATTAATGGGATCAGAAGGTTCATCAAGCAATTTGTCTCGTGATATGACTAGCAGATCTCCCACTTTGACTCTCACAAACGCTTCTCTATGAGGAACCTCAACAACTTGTCCGACCGAGCGCTTTCCTTTCTTTCCCTTGACATACAACTTAGTTCCAGACTCAATATAAGCAGCATCCCCACATTCAGCGACAAATCCAGTACCAGAGAAAACATGAAACTCTTTTGAAATTCTAAGCATCCTCTTTTTCCCTCTGGCATCACATAGACTTACCGAATCACCAAGCCGGAGGCCCGCAAGAAAATCCTTGTCTTGCACATATATGGTAGCATCAGGGTAGAGGTGAGCAGGAGGACCTGTTCCTCTAAGGGATAGCCATACCTGAGCGGGGAAGACAACATTTCCATAAGCATCTTTCTTGGGAGACACTTTCATCACAGGGGGACCGGGTTTTAGCATACCAGTTCTGAGTTTTGGTCCTGCTAAATCCATAAGAACCCGGCATGGAATCTCCAGCATCTGCGAGCTTCTTCTCACTCTTCTGATGATCTCTCCCCAAATACTTGGATCTCCATGTGCACAGTTTATACGGATAATGGAAGCACCAGCCTTAAGAAGATCGGTTATTAGCGTTTCACTCTCTGTTGCTTCTCTCCCAACAGTAACCATGATATGAGTACTTCTGCCCTCGCAAAGATTACCCAGTAATAGTTCTTTATTCCATGATGTTATCTCCTTCTTACCGAGCTTCTTAGTTTTTCCACCTCTCAGCTTCTTGGGATCTGTACTAGTCCAAGATTCACCCTCTGCGTTCTCTTTGCTAGCCAGAGAGTTCTGCAGTAGCTGTATGGTGGCATTAAGTCTGGCTAGCACATCTAGATTGTTCTCATCTAAACTCAACATACCAAGAGAAGCAAGATAATTGTTGAGCTGCTCCACATCCAGAGACTTCAAAGCCATGTAATGAATTATGTTTGATGCACATTCCAGATATTTTCTGCTAGATACAGTATACGGAATTAGAAAATAGCAATGCGAAAAAAAATTACGCATGTAATTTACATATCTCAAGAAGCCTAGTAATGCAGAAAAACAAGGCCATTCGAAATGCACAATTTTTGTTTCAATCCAAGTCCCGAGGAATTTCAATTACTTTTGTCACGGCAAAAATAAAATTCTGCAACATGTTAAAGGGAAACACTCAAGTTAAACTCTGAAGAATATTGGACAAAGGATCTGGACATTTGTGTTTCTGCAGATCAAGAAATAGAAGATATGGGGATGTCACCGCACATATGATTAGAATGACCTACAAAAGACTTGGATCAAGACCTGGGGAGAATCAAAATAAAGGAAAAATTTGATAAATTTTGGCAACTCAACAGACCTGTCACATAAATTAAGCTGAGAAGAGTTCCACTTCTCTGAAGCTAATATGTGGAACCGAAGGGCTTTGAGTTTGTCCAGAACACTAGCTTGATCATCCCCAATGCTTCCAGGAAAAAATGTTTTTGGTTCCGGATAAGAAACATCAACATTAGAATCTGGAGCAAAACTCTCGGCACATCTGAAGGAGGTAATATCATCAGAGAGAGCATCCAAGCTACTGTTTCTTTCAGCTTTATCCTTTCGGCTCCCTGTGGCAAAAGCTAAGGTTCTCGGAAAACGGGTTTCTGTATGATTCACTCGATGTCTACCGGAGAAGCAAAGTAACTTGCCCCTAAAATGCTTTGAATCAGTTGTTGCAAGATCAACAAATTGAATCACCTGAAAGAGAAGAACCGTAAGTACATTCAAGTCAACGTTATCAAATGTAACAAATATTTCTCTGAGAAGTGAGAACTGAAGTTAGAAGATGAAAATCGTTGCAAGAAGTGCTAGAAGTTTGTAAATGGGTATAAACAAAGGATAAGCCATTTGAGAGCTTGATTACTTGTTTCAGGCAAAGACCTACTCACATTTTCATTGGTGGTCCAGACATTTCTGACAGCAGAAGCTGAACTAATGCAAAAAGTCATCTGTCCAGCAACTCAAGGAAAGAACTCGAGATTCAGAATCTGCAATAGCAAGCTGAAGCAGAAACAAAATCAAACGACTGAGCAAAAACCAAAACAACTACGTACAACATGTATGTTGGCTAAGGTGTTTGCTCACCATCCAAACGTTGGGGATTTTTTTTTTCCTGAAGGTACAGAATACATTTTGACAACAGAGAAGAAAATTCAACAGATGAACCCTAATTTCAGCTAATTGAGAACGAGAGTTTCACTGACGCAGAACCCAGACAACAATTCAAAGTTTCGGGAGATATCGATAATCAGCAAGAACAAATCGGAATATCAAACTACGTAAAGCAGAACGTCGTGTTTAGGAATCAATTTCCAAACTAAAAATCCGAAAATCCGAGCATCTCTGATCTAGAAATTCAAAATAAAGACCAAATTTCACCTCAACGACAGCCGATCCGGCGGACAATAATTTCAGAGTGAGAATACATACGTAAAAGATGACAATATGCTGATCACTCGTCGTGGTTTCGGCTGATCACTCGCCGTGGAGAGAAGATGACAAGATTTTCCCAAGAAAATGTCGGAAAAGGTCGAAGGGATAAGGGGAGTGTGGCGAGCGCGTGCCAGATGCCAAAAGGTCAGCACTATTGAACAATCTAGAGAGCCAATGGCTCCACACAAATAAATAAATAAACATAAATATAAATATAAATCACATTTCTTGGTGGCCCAAATAATTAAATCCAACGCAATTTTTGCCGATCAGCATGGCCATCCACCAAACATTCGTTAAAAATATCTCCATCCCAGAAAACTAGAATGTCTAATTTGGTCAATACTTGAATAATCGGTTCTAAGGTGCGATCAAATCGAATTTGATATAAACGGTAGTTATAATTTATTTAAAATCGAAAAATTAAATTTTAAACCAACCAAATGGAATAAAAAATAATCAAAAAACGAAATAGAATTGAATCAAAACCGAATCAATATAAACAATATTGAACCTGATACGATTTTAGACTTTTTTTTTATAAAAGATTAAAATATATTCACCAAAATTGTTTGTGTACAAAACCGATCTTGACCGAATACCCGTACAAAAGAGAATAACCATGTGTCTCTAATTTGACACCATAACTAACTTGTAGAAGCAGCTAACGATGAGACAGAGTGATGTAATACCAATCGACAAGAAGAGTCGGGTCAACCCTATGAGAGGAGCCTACAAGCGAGAGTATACAGTTTCGAACCATGGTGTTTAGTGTGCCACAAAGTGAATCAGTCGATGAAACAACACCTCGGAAAAGCCTTGTATTCCTTTCCGACCATAGTAGGTAAATTGAGCATTGGAGGAGAATTAGGGAAATAAGGCTCCTGTTATGGGACCGATCATTCTCCGGGTGTCTCATCCAGCCCAGGGTGTCATGGAGATCTAAAGGTGGCCTGCGCCAAATGCATCGAGCAAAACGGGACCAAACCTGACTGCTGTAGCTACAGCGGAAGAAGGGATGAGAGCGTGACTCCTCCTCCAAGCCACATAGCAAACAGGTTGAAACCGCAACCGCCCCCCATCGGTAAAGTCTGTCACGCGTCGCTAGTCGGCAATGAAGAGCCATCCATTGGATAAAACCATATCTCGGGACTCCCTCAGAAAACCAAGCCAGTGAGTGCCACGACACTTCCGACGAAGGCTACAGAGTAGTTTCCAAGTGCCTGCAGAGGAGAACGCAATGCAAACGTATTTGGACCATTCTTCCATTCATACCTATTCAGACCGCTGACTGAGCTTGGCAACCGCAAGGAAGCCAACCTGATGTGGAGGTCCAGCACACTCTGTGATCTAGTCGCCGGGAGAGTCCAGCCCGAGTCCAAAACAACGTCTACCACTCTGGCCTGCCGTGGAATCCTCAACATGCGGGGGTCATCTTCACCTACATACTCAATCAGGGGGCCAAGGTTTGTCCAAGTATCGAACCAGAATGCAACCCGTTTACCATCGCCCAAGGAACATCGAATAAACTGCCGCACCACCGGTTTAAGAAGTAAAAGCTTCCTCAGGTTCCATGAGAGCCTAGAGGACGGTGAGGTATCCCAATATCCTCTACGTCGGAGCGCGTGTTGATGGGTCCATGCCACCCAAAGAGAGCCCGATTCCTGGAACAACAGCCAGACCAACATCAATCGAAAAACTGTATTAAATCTTCTAGTTTCCGAATGTCTAATCCTCCTTCTGATTTTGGCTTGCAGACCTCAGCCCATGCTACATGGGGAATCGCCGATGTGCTAGTGCTAGATTTCCATAGGAATTTTGAGCAGAGAGCATCAATTATCCGAAGTATGCCCTTAGGGATGACAAAGGATTGAGACCAAGAGTTAACCAAAAATGAGTTGTTGTAATACCCCGAAACCCGATTTGAATATTTAATTATTTAGAAATAAATAATTAAATAGAGATATCACGAAATCACCAAAAATGAATAGTACAATGCCGGGGAGAGGCACGAGGATCGTCACGTGCGGAAAGGACCGGGAAGGAATGAATAAAAAAAAGGAAAAGAAAAAAAAAATGGGGTTGGTCCGCCGGACGAGAAATCACCAAAAATGAATAGTGACCAACCTGCGCAGTCAGAGTCAGAACGGATCGCGCGGACTGGGAGGAAAATTCAAAAAAAAATGAGTGTCCTCGGTACGGCGGACCAGAAAGTTGGTCCGACGGACCGGGAATTGACAGATTCGCAACTTGCCAACTTGCGGTCTTGGGACGCGGATTTTGCCGGATTCCGAGGCATACTTGTCGTCCTGCTGCCTCCACGCCTCGAGGACGTTTAAGGCTCGCCTATGGGCCTGGGCTTGAGCCCGACAACTCCCTATCTCGCAGCAAAAACCGCTCCCAACCCTCTGCCTTAGCCATTTTCGAGCTAAAACAGGGGAGAGAGGAAAGAGAGAGAAAGGGAGAGAGAGAAGGCGAACCAGTGCAAGGGGAGCTCGGAGAAACAAAGGGGGGGTGTTCCTAGACGTGCCCTGAAGGTGTTCATGGTGTGAGGAGGAGCAGAGGATGCGCACAAGCTCAGACAAACTCACCAAAACTCAAGAACAAAGTGAGTGACTTGAGTTGCTTCTGTGTACTCTCATTTCCATCTTGTGACTGTGATATCGCAATGGTTTGTTGCTTGGGTTTGAAAGAGGATATTTCAATGAGGATTTAGAAACAAAGGGTACTCAATTTGGTTGAGAAACGAAGGAGATATGAGATGAATAAAAACTGGGAAAAAACACAAATTGTAGTTTCGCGAAATTTATGAGGTACAGGGGTTACGAATCAATTTTCATCCTGTATACGTGAGATTTCAATAATCTACTGTTTGGATATAAAAAAGGACATCCCAATGAACATTTATAAACAAACGGTGCACGATTTGGTTAAGAAACGAGTGAGTTATGAGCAATCGAAGTCGGACCAAAAATCTGAAAACGCGAACAGATGAACTGCCCAGTTGCGGTCCGCCGGACCAGGAACTGGTCAGCTCCGGACCAATCCGAGAAACCTGTTTAGTCCGCCAGACTGAGGAGAAGAAGCTGAGGAAGTGTGGTCCGACCCGGACCAGAACCTAGTCCGGCGGACCAAACCTGTTTTTGACCAAAAATGGTCCGGTTGACCAACGAAGAGGGAGCCGGACCAAGAGAGAAAGACAAGCTGGTGCGGAGCTGACCAAACCTGGTCCGCCGGACTAGACATGTCATAACAAACCGACGGATCAAGAAAGCTGAGCGGACCAGAAGAGAAAGGGCTCTGGTCCGGGACTGACCAGGCTTTGGTCCGCCGGACCAGGCTCGGAGAAAAGACAGAAAATTTCCGTTTCGACCGGAAAAAAGGAAACGACCAACGGGATTGGCCCGGGCCCGACCAGACTTGACCATGGGTGAACCAAGCTCCCACCAAAGGAGAAAACTTCGCGATTGAGATCAATCGAACCGATCCTTCGCCAAAACGTTGCGTAGCATAGTGAGGAGTGCGATATTGAGATAGGAGTGACCGTAACTTGATTGTTTGCGGGTAGAATTGCATGGCGTTAAACGGTAGATCGGTGGGGACCGGATGGCGTGATGCGTATGATTGTACTATAGGGATATATGCACATGGTTTGCCATGTGTGTAGCTTGCTCGTGCGTACGAGCTAAGCATGATTATGTTGTGGATGGTTGTGGACTCAACCATTACAGTCATGGACTTGACGGGCGTTTGAGACGCGTTTTAGTCGTGTGCGACACGACGGCCAACGTCATGGACTTGACGGGCGTGGATACGCCCCTAGTTATGGACTTGACTAGGTATGTGGGTGGACCCTATGGTGGACTCCATACAGGTGTGATTATGATTGATGTGATATAAATACGTGTTGTTATTAATTGTTTGTTTCTTGTATGTCATTGTTTTATCACCGTTCTCACTAGGAATGGGATGACTGGGATCAACCCGGGCTACTCATTAAGCAGTTGTGCTTAGCCCTCGCGGTTTTACGTTTTTTATAGATCACGAGGATTACGCGTAGCGCACCAGACGACGATGACCCGAGAGAGACAGCATCATGCACAGGATTTGTATTTTGGACTATGGGACTTGTATTCCCGCATTTTGTACGGTTATATTATGACAATTCGGACATGTATCATTTTGCGATATTGATTGCGTTGTATTTTCCGTTACTTACTCTGATTTGATTTAAAATGTTTTTGGGTTTCGTAATTTTGCTTCCGCAAATTTATTATTTTATCTTATATCGTCCATGTGGCACAGCCCGTATACTGTACACGGGTTACGGGTGTCACAACTTTTGGTATCAGAGCCACGTTCTTTCCTTGGGAAGTAATCGTGTTCATTACCCAACGATTTTCTACGAAAAATATTTTCAAACCGTGTCCGAAGAAAATCCTCACATGTCGAGGTCCGTACATCGATGATGCAGTTATCGGTCATCAGTAGATAAACTGTCTTAAATGTCGTGCAGTGAAATGGCGCCACGACGTACTAGGTTTGTAGCGAGGGCTGACGACGTTCCCGAACAGGCTCCACCGCCTAAGCCGGGGGACGAGGCATGGAGGGCCGAGTTTCGCCAATTCCAGGAGACTGTGTGGCAGCAGCTGGCTGCTCACGCCCCACCACCACCTCCGACGAGAGACCCGGAGCCGAGGGAGGAGGACCTACACCACCCGCCGATGCCTGCTGCGATGGCGGAATACCTCCCCATCGTCAAAGAGCTGCGGGCGATGCATACCCCGCGATTCGAGGGATCGGTGAGGTCGGAAGCTGCGGAGGAGTAGCTCACCCCAGATCTCTCAGGACTTGGAGTATCTGCAATGCCCGTACCAGTACCGGACTATGATCGCGTACCATCATCTATCGGGCCAGACCCGACATTGGTGGGTGAAGGTGGTGCAGGAGGCACCAGCGGGACATCGCTTCACATGGGAGGAGTTCCGACAGGAGTTCGAGGCGAAGTACTTCCGGCGACAGGACCGTGAGTACCGTGTGACAGAGTTCCTCATGTTGCAGCAGGGGACATGACTATCAGCGAGTACGAGACGGAGTTCACCTGTCTACTGATGTATGGAGGGCATCTGGTGCCCACCGAGGCGTCGAAGATCCAGAAGTTCATTGCTG